TATCGGGCTATCCAAGACGCCATTCCTTACAAGATCAAGGTTGGTGTTGCTACACTGCGCCTCACTGTGGGTGCATCACTCCAGGGCTTTAGCAATGGTGCGATTATTGCAAACCTTTGTGAGGAAAACGAAACGGCTACCTGGTGCGCTCACCTGGATGACATTGTCCAGGTGAACAAAACACGGGGTGGTGACCTCGTTCTCACGGTAGGCTCCACCGAGGCGGCAACAGCCCTCCGTGGCGCGGATTTGTGTCTATTTGGCAAAAGTACACCTTCCCGCTGACCGAGTCACGTCGAGCGGTTACGGGTGGCCTGTTTTACTTGGACGTCGTGGGAGTTCGCCATAATTTCGACTCCCGAGCATTTTTCCAATGTCTTCGCCGTCTCAAAACATCCCCCTTGTTCCTTTCCTACATGTCGGCTTCTGGTGGTTTTGGCATCCATGTCAATTCCTGGCGTGTCTACTTTGATTCACCCACCTTGCCGCTCTCCCTCATGGTTGCAAACCAAGCTCTTGACCAAATTTGCTTTGGCGGGGCTCTCTATTCCGTGTTTGCCAAAGGGTCCTCCCGTTGCAAGGCACCACGGCTTCACCCCCGTTCTGCCTACTGTATGGACCTTGATAGCTCCGATTTTCCTGAGCACTCCCCGGCTACCTTCCAAAAGAAACCGCGGCATACACCGGGAACTATGGCGGACATATCAGGAGACTCTGCTGTAGACCCCGTTGCTCCCCCATCTACTTCCCCCCACGGGACAAGATTTTCTTCTGGTGTCCCGTTTGGTGTCCCCCTCAATTCAATGGCAGGCTCGAGCACCACGGGTCAGATGCCTCACGTAGACTTATCTACGGCTGCCATCCCGAGCATCCTGGGTCAATTATATCACGATGACCGGTTTACGGGGTCCGATTCTGGTGATACGGATCCCGCGCCTTCTCCGGTTCTGTCCGCGGGTGCCCTCCCTGACGCCATGGCTCAGATGACTCCTGCTGTTCCTCATCCCCAGTCTGAGGACGCCACTTCCGGCACCACAACTCGTCTTCCTGATGATGTTGTGTCGGGATCGCCCGGTTTTCCGGTTCAACGTTTGGTTCCCTCCCCATCTTCTGACGCTGGAATCGTTGCTCCGGATGCCTTTGTCTATCCAAAGCGTCCTACCAAACGCAAATCGAGGGAACCGTCTGTTTCTTGGGCCTCCCCCAACTTTTTTTCCCATCTCCAGGACGTCCAGTGCACTATGCACTCACACGACGCGCCGGGACGACCTGGTCTTGTATTCTTTTCTGTCCATACCGACATCCCAACCCTTGACCTG